AATCTCTCTAGAGTCCATCCCCAAATCATTATTGCATTTTACTAAAGTTTGAAATGTTGTCACCTGAAAGGCTGCCTTAACCTTCCAGCCATGATAAGCACCCAAGGGAATTATTTATTTACCGCTTTTGGGTGCTAGGAGTGGTTTTGTTTGCTCCACAGTTAACACAGGAAGTCAGAAGAAAAAGATAAAGGATTTAAAAAAAAAAAAAAAAACCCAAACCAAAAAAAACCCCTCCCCTCCCCCACAACAGCAAATTTAGCACCAAGGATCAAGGTAAAAAGATACAAAAATGAGTAGACAAGATATCACCACTTTGGTATATTTTGGCTACCAAATAACTTTATGGTTGAGGAGGAGTTTCAAGGGTAAATTCCAAAAAGACTATTCGACTTTTTAGTAGCAATGATTTATTCAAATGAGCAGTTTATCTTCTAATGTTCTGTCAGAACAGAAAATGTAATTTGTATCCAGAGTGCTAATCTGAGAATTTTAACACATACAATTTCTGAAATGAGTTACACTGGGACTCTCAGAGGCTCTTTCTCTCCAAGCTACCATTTACTAGTTATCACTTTTGGCACAAAAGTGTGTTGTCTAGATGATCACAAGAAATAAGCAGCATTCATAAATTTTTTTATCACTTTTAATCAGAGTAGAAGTTTATCAGAAACTAAATCAATTTTCCTGATAACAATATAACTAATAGCAACTAAGATCACCTTTCATGAACCTTTACCTTTAATTTACCAAAACATAAACAAGTCAGAATCTTAAACTGATAAACTAGTCACCCAGTTAAAATATTACATGAAAAGGAAAAAGGACAACCATGCATAGTTTTTTAAAAAACGTTTATTTTTTTCAAAGAAAAAACGGCAATAGCCAATTGGAAACCTACTTATTCTTCAACTCCAATTTTGTTTTCTTTAAATTTAGAAGTGACTTACTGATTTACTATTTTAAACAAACCCCCCCTTTCCCCTTTAAATGTTTACCATCTACTCGTGCTGAATCCTTCCAAGGAGATTGCTCCAGCGTATATCTCCAGGTCCTCGTTTTGCTCCTTTTACCAAAAAATGCAAAACACAATTCCATCGTGCATCTTAAGGGCTCCAATCGTCAAAAATAGGAAAAAAAAAATCTTTGGAATAGCCAATTAAGTTGAATAAAAAAAAAAAAAAATCCACACGAATGCGGTTTGGTTGGGGCAGGAATCCACTCCTACGTTCCTGGTAATCTGATCCCGCTCCATGAATCCTTGTAATTCATCCTCCCTATCCTATCCACATTATGATTTGAATCCAATGATCCAGCTCCAAGGATTGGGATCCAGTGAGCCCTCTCCAATCCAAACCTTTATAACCAGCAAAACCAAAAAAGAGGAGGCAAAATGTTAGATACTGTAATCAAAAAAGGTTTCTGGGGAATGATGAGTTATGTCTGTCATCAGTTTAACAGATGTACATCAATAACTATCAAATTCCCCAAAACAAGTTTCTGAATGGTGTTCAGATAAATTTTAGAAACTTAATCATCATAGAGACTAATTGGAAGAAGCATTTTATATTTACAGTTCAACTGATAATGCCAACACTTGTTACTGTACAGCGTATTACAGGTTTTGTGGTTGCAAAAAGTTATGTAATTGAAAAGTTTACTGGTATTGCTACCCACCTAAGTCTAAACTAGGTCTAATGCTCCCATCTGCAATTTATTTGTAAATTAAAGTGTTTTAAACATAAGTCAATTATATTAGTTTAAAGGGGAAAGCGAGACTTAAAATATCCCCACTAGATTATCTACACCAATATGTTGGAATTCTCTATTTTGCTTTCATTTTGTCTTAAAAAAATGAAATAGCAACGCTCTATCAGTCACACAGAGGACATGCAGATTTAGCAGTATTGATATTATACTCTATCTGGTTGGAATTAAAGACACCCTGTACCCACATGTACACCAACAGCAGGTCACACATTAACAGTTGTAACTAAGCACTGTGACAAATTAGCCAGTTCTTCCCACATTAGTCCCTATTAAAACAAAAAAAGGGGGAAGGGAGCAAGATAAATTGTTACAAATGGACAATGTAATTTTGCCACAATTGCCAAGGGTTAAAGAGTGAAGCAATTGTAGCTAACAATAACTGCTTAAGATGTTTGCAAGTGTTTTAAGGTAGATGTATATAATCATTTTTAACCCTGGCCTTTTAGTATAAGGTCAATACTGCCAATTTCATCTGTGACAATAGCACTTGGAGTCATACCATTGCCTCCATTATTGATCTGATCCTCCTCAATCCTCCTTTTGACAATCCTAAAATGATTGAAATGTGCTCCACAATCCTTAATCCAAAGCATTCTTAATCCATCTCTTCAGATATGTCTACAGAAAGACACATGAAAAGCAAGATAAACATAAGAACTTCCCCAAGATAACCACAAACACCCCCAACATCCCAGTTCACACAAACCATAGCAGAATAGACATTTACACAGTTATCACAGTCTGAAGAGCATGGAGAGTTAACTAAATTTAAACAATCCTGTCTATGACATCACTTAAAATACAATTTATCAGACATGAGGGGAATGTAGATGTTAGGAGCAAGGGGGATATTACACAAGAATGCAATTCAACACTTTAGCCCATTCTGAACAAAACAGTTTGAATTAAAAAATGAAAAGATTGTACTGAGTAAAGGAAAACTGTATACAACATGGGTTCTACAAAAAAGTGTCACCAATCATCTTATGTACGAGAGCGAGATCTGCTATGACGGGGAGAATAGCGTGGTGATCCTCTGCTTCTCCTTGGGGAGTAACTGCGACTCCTGCTGTTGCTTCTGCTACGGCTTCTGCTACGACTACGGCTTCGAGATCGAGATCTTCCATAACTTGGACTTCTGGGCCCATCAACTTTAACCCGGATGTAGGCAGTTTCTCCCTATTGAATAGACAGAACTTTCGATTGAAAGATCTAAGCTTTCACCTGTCTTCAGGCATGCTGAATGAATACAATTAACTAAAACCAGAATCTGGCATTTTACTTGCTTTACTTGGACAACCCTTGCCTGAATCTTACCTTCAAATTCCACTGTTAAGACCACTGTATCCAATTCTGGTCAAAGAAAAAAATAAGTGTATAACCTACCTCATGAGATCTAAACTTAGTGTTATCCAGTTTTCGAACTGCATAGGTCATATCTTCTTTCCGTACAAACTCCACGACACCAGTGCCATCTCGGTAAACATCAGCATAACATACATCACCTGCTTCACGCATGTGATCCTTCAAATCCTGCCAGCTTCCACTTGGAGGCAGTCCTGAAAAAATAATTTTCCAACACCATTTAGCCTCAATTTCACGAAAACAAAGTTTGATTGGGTTTAAGGTCCTAAGTCAACGGCAGGTTAAGATTCTGGCATCCAGAGTCCAAAACTAATTGTAAAGGAAGGATCCCCGTATTCTAGGCACCACGAGCTAATCTGCTCAATCTCCTGCACGGTAATCCCTCTTCACTAAATTCATTCACGAGCCTAAAGTAACTTAAGACCTGCAGTGAAAATCTGCATTTGTCAAACTGGTCACGCAAGGACAATTTTAAAGTAGTTTCTGTCCCTTCTTCTCAACCAACATGAGCGGTACACTCACCAGAGACAACCACTCTGTTTTCAGATCGCCTGGATGGGGGGCCGTAGCGGCCTCGGGGAGCTCCACCACCTCCACCCCCGCCGCCTCCTCGGCCTGTACCACGGCCGCTTCGAGGAAACTCCACCCGCAGACGGTATCCATCGTAATCATAGCCATCGCGACCATACACCGCGTCTTCCGCGTCTCTGCGGGATCACAGAAAGCAAACGGGTTAAGGAGAACGATCCCGAGCAGCAGCCAACTCAGTAGGGAACTAGCGGCCCCCTGCACATGCGCGCCCAGGGCGCAGGAGCCCACATGCGCCGCATAATAGGAACGGCCCCTCCCCCACCTAGCAGCGCGCCAGGCTCCCGGCCACCACACCAGCCCTCCGCGCCTCAGTTTCCCGCCCCGAGCCTGCGAGCCGGCTCTGGGGACCCCCCGCCCCCCCGTGTCCAAGCCAGAGAAGCCACGCCGACTCGGCCCCTTACTCGCCTCCAGTCTGGGCGCTATCGTCTTGCCCCCAACCTGAGCCCGCCCTCCCCGCTCTCGTGTTAAGGCCTTGGCGCCTGCCCCTGCTGCTCCAACCTATTTCCTTAAGGCCGCAAGCCCCCCAGGCCGCCTCACCGCGGGTCCTCGAACTCCACGAAGGCGAAGGGCGGTCCTCCGCGGCGATTCTTGAGGTCGATGTCGCGGATAGCACCGTATTTGTAAAACACGTCCTCAATGTCCTTGGTTCGGATGTCTGGAGGTAAGTTACCCACGTAGATGCGGCAATCGTTGTTCCCCGCCGGGCCACGAATAACACCACCTCCCGACATGGCGGACACGAAAAGCGCGGACTCGAGAACAAGCCTTCCCACCAAGCCTAGCGCACGGCAGAGCGAGCCCGCAGCGACACCACGTCTCCCGCGGCCCCTCCAAAATGGCGCCTTTATCAGCTCGGCGCACGGATACAGGGGGGAGGGAGGAAGAAAAGCGGATGAAAGCAGCTATTCGATCCCAGGGCGCACGCGCAAGAGCGTAACGGGTGCTGCGCCAGGGTACGCTCGCGCACGCGCGACGTCACCCTCCGCGCGAAGGGGAAAAAAGTCCCTTGTGTTTCCAATTTGCGGAGTGGTTTGCTAAAGGAGTGACCAGTTGTTTGGGGGAAATTAAATACAGAGCCTTTGCTGAAGAAGTTTTTCATCCCCGTCGTATCTTAAAGGATGGGCAGTGTCCCCAGGACTGAGCTGCTTTTAAAGCAGTTCGGCGCCTTTGAAAGGATTCGGTGAAACCTAGCCTACAGCTTTGTCCCACCATGCTCCGCGGCGCTAACGGCCTTTGGCGGGAAAGACTCTTAGGGGCGGGGTCACGGGGGGCGGGACCGGGCGGTTGCTGCGGAAACGAGGACATCCTTTAAGAATGAGCTTAGTTCTGAGGTTCTTCGCGGGTGATTCAATCCCGAGTCGCGGCGTGGTTTTTGTCTTTCCGCCCCTTCGGCGAACAGTCCGTGGGCTGCTTAGACAAGTATCTAATTGAGGGGAAGCCCCAGCTTGGATTTCTTAGTAAATATTCTACCCTGAGTTCCGTTCCACCTTCCGTTCAGAACTTAACTTTTTATAGTTCGGTTCAAGACCTTCGCCACTGGCGGTGATTCGTGCCCTGATCAGCCCTAGTGAAACCTGCAACCAGGAACCAGGCCTCTGCTTCTCTCGCTAATGAGCCCCTATTCCTCGGAGAGGGCAGAGGGAGAAGTCCACTAAAGGGTTTGAAGAATGAGGAGTGCCTCTTATTCACTCCCTTTCAAAGAATGAGAAAGTGTGTGTTCGCGGAATTCTGAAACTCATTTACGTGGCCTCTCAGGTAATATAAATGAGCAGAATGCGTGTCACTGTGTCCTGGAGACCACAGTTGCTGCCCAGGATTGACGCTGCTTGCATTCCTGACCAGAGAGAGAAGAGCTTTTTGTATTTTGCCCCAGACATCCTGAAATACGGATTTTTATATGTGACAGTTGGATTTAAATATTAGTAATTTTTCAAAAATCATAAATCATATGCTAAAACGTATCTATTAATATTTATGTTCAACAACTGCCCCCTCCCAGGATGTGAGGCAACCTAAAGAGATGCCTTAAAATAATTATTTAAAATGGATGAAGAAAAAAACAACTAGATGAAGAAATTAGGGAAATGGGAAAATAAGAGGAGGATTAAGATGAAGTCATGAATAAGGTGAGTACTCAAAATACTTGCAGTAATAGCCTGTTGAATGCCTAGAGTCAGATGCAAATTTGGTGCTGGTCTTCCCTGCAGGTCACAGTAAAGAAGGGGACACAAGTATACTGAAATTTAAAATGTCTTTGAGGCTGAAAATAATTGTTTAGGGGAAGTGCATTTTATCTTAGTTCTAAAAGTTGGTTGAATGTATTTTACAAATGTCTTTCCATGATTCCAAAATACAAACTCTGATGCTCAACCATTCTTCAATGATACATTGTTAAACTGAACTTTGAATAAAAAATAGAGTAATCTGGACCTCCCTGGTGGCACTGAAATTAAAGTCTCAGTACTATCAAGCTATCTCCAGCCACTGTGGCCTGAATTCGATCCCGGTCAGGGAGCTAACCCACATGGTGCAGGAGATCACTCCTGTCTTACCCACTGCTCCCCAAGCAGTGTATCTCAGTAGATCCACCTGTTCTCTTCCCCACTCTGTCTCTGCTGAATGCTCTTACCTCCTGCACCTCTGGCCTACAACTCAGTCCTTGATGCATAAATAAATAAAATATTTTTTAAAAATGGAATAAGCTGATAATTTTTTAAATAAGCTGATCAAAAAGGATATTATTTCAACAAATTTATTCAGTTTTTAGTACTGTCTTATTCAATTTGTAGAAGAGATGAGTTTTTAAAAAATTGCATACATATCATGTACTGATTTCACTCAAATCAATTAACTGAGCATGTATTTTTCCATCCTAAGTTTATTCATCGGCTTAGAATTATTCAGGCTCACTTAATGTTAAGTCTATGATAATTGAAGTATTTTAAGCATAGATGCTTTTAATTTCAAGACATTTTCATTCCAGAAAAATAAGAAAACTGAATTTGCTTTGATTTATTCCTTTCTCTCCAATGTAATGCAATTGTTTCTGATTTTTTTCAGTTCAGAGGAATTCAATGTTGAATTTAATGCGGAATAAAGAGAACATTCTTATTTCTCTGTTGGCCTTTTTTATTGTATTTGAATGTAACTAAATTATATGTTCTGGGGTTCACGATATAGTCAGGCTATAGCAGGAAAAGTCTGGACGACTGTTTATCAGGGTCTCCCAAGGTGACTTTAGCTTGGTGATTATTACAGTTAAGGGTATGATCTTAATCATATCTGTATCCCTGAGTTGATTAATGTATTTTAGTCCACAAGAGTGAAAAATAAGGAAGCAAATAAACCAAACCATTTATTCATGGTGGGGGGATTGGTTAGATTCATTTTTGATAACAATGATACTCTATACATACCAAGATACCCATTTTGGGAGGTCTGGAAAGCAAATCAGACAGTTGCTTAGTAAATGAGGCGTCAGAATAGAATGAGTTGAATCATTTTGAGATATTTTATTCAGATAAATATTTTATTCTCATAAAACCTGATAAATGATCCTTGTCCTACAACAAAGTATACTTTTTCAAATACAGAAAAATTCATACAGAAATTCATTGAATTTTCTCTTTCCATTCCCTGAACAGTACTAAGGATTATACTTCTCTTTCTGTAGGCTAATCTTCACTCAAACTTTCCCTAAACAGTATACTAGACAATTGATTAGGTTTCTAGGATCTGATTTACAACCACTTCCAGTTTTGCCTCCCGAGATTACAGCCTCATCTTAATTAGGGGTTTAGAGTGTTTCTAAACTCCTTATTTACAGTCACAGGCAGTTTTATGGATTACTCCCACAACCAACCAATTTAAGTATGGATTTTACTAGCCTAATTCTCAGAACCTGATTTGTTTTTAACACTTGCTATTTATGAAACATTGCTTCCTCAAAAAGAAAGTTTTAAATTCTTTTGATTCGGGGCCTCCCCGGTGGTGCAGCGGTTGAGCGCTGGGTTGCGAAGCTGCCCGCAACCTCTGAGGCACCAGTTCGATCCCTGGCTGCTCCCCGGCCACCGAGGAGGGTCCCACATGGCGCGCAGACCTCTCTTGCCGCCCGCTGCTCCCCTCAGCAGTGTGCTTTGGTCCTTCTGCCTGCTCTGCTCCCTGCTCTGGCTCTGGTGAATTCTCTCACCCTCCCGTGCTTCTGACTGTAACCAGTGCTTGTATAAATAAAAATAAAATAAATAAATCTTTAAAAAAAATAAATAAATTCTTTTGATTCAATCCAGTAAGTATATACTAGTATCAGCACTATATGTTACCCTGAAAATACTTACTTTGGGGGAAAAAAGAAAAGAAATAAATTCAATTTTAATTACTGTAAAGGTTGAAAGGACCAAAGTCAGTTTTCCAATGATTTGCTTCCACTTAAAACTCTATACCTGTGGTGAGTTACACCAGTGCATTCTGTAATGTATCAATACTTTAAAAATCATTGAATTCTGCACTTAAATTGTATAGTGTGTAAGTAATAACTTAACAAAAAAATGTTTTAAATGATTGGGCATAAATATCTGTATAATCAGCAAAATTGCTCTCTAGTATTGGGGGGGAGGGTGTCCTAGAGTAATTGCCCTAAAATATGCAATATCTGGAAATCCTGTTTTCAGTACTCTTCTGTCAATCCTACTGTTTTCCCTGGAGGTATCTGTTATTTTTCATGTGGTAAAGGGACACTTAGAAAGGTTATGAAGTGACCTCTAGGATTAATTTGCATTCATAATTCTCTATTCCCTGCTTCATTTGTTTTAGTGATAATTATTCTTTGAAAAAGAAGGAAATAGTGTAGATCTTCTAGTTTCATTTATGCTTGTCTCCTCATTCTTTGTAAAGTGTATTGAAGTCAGATTTCTGCTGTAGCTACTTTTATTGCCAGTAAATTCTCTGTTAAAGTGAATATTACTGATCACTCTTTGAAAAAGGTGGGACATTGGATGACCAGAATATGTTTCTGTAGAAATGTCATCATGTTGCTGTTGGTGAATGGACATGAGGATTGTTTCTCATTTCACAGTATAATAATGATGATGGATACTTTTTAAGCCCAAACAAGTCAGCTACTAATATAATCTTGATCTCATTTTAGGATTGACCTCATTCTTTGATTCTTTTTGTTTTGTTTTTGGCTAATTCTTCCCATCTCTGTTGTCCCATTGTTGATAACAATAGGATATGATTTTGCAGAAGACAGCACTTTAAATTATCTATTACAATGAGATATTTTCATCGTGTCTTCCTCTTCCTATTAATATTTTAATTTCCTTTCTCCCTCTTCTGCTTAGTTCTTCCTCTTCAGAATTAAAGCTCCTATATTACAAATAGAGTAAGTGGCTCTTTAAGGAATTATACAAAAATATGTCATATGCTTTGTATGCTAGAAATGCTACTTTTTTTGGCAATTTAATCTTATAGTGGAGTCATATATAAGTCATATGTTACTACTACTACTAGGAGTAGTAGTAGGAGGGTTAGAAGTTAGTATTGCTGCCAAATATGTTAGAAATAGTATCAACAAAATTTTTGTATTTGAAGTTTTGGGAGTGTGATTATTATTTTCTTCTTTATTGTTTTAAAATGTATCCCAGATTAGCTAGAAAGACTTAGAATTACTTTTCTAAATTTACTTGCAGAGTGGGATTATTTGCAACATAGATTGTCCGTCCCATAAGCCTAAACTATTTATTATCTGGCTCTTTACAGAAAAAGTTTGCCAATCTCTGACTAAGAGGAAAAGAATAACCTACTTTTGTAATTTTTATTTAAACCTAATTTAAAAATTCCACTGTGTCATTTCTCTCCTTCTTGTAAATGTTTTTGGCATGGTTAACATATTGTTAATAATGGTAAACATAAGCAGTCCACACTTTCAAGGGTTTGTTGCTTACAGAGGCGTTAGCAGCCACTGCTACCCCAGTTTGGTGATGGTGTTCTCAAGGTGGAAACAGCTTCCCTGTCCAACCTGGAAAACGACATGTTGCTCTATTAAAACTGGTTGTATTTTGCATTTTTTTTTGGTAGTCCAGATGGCTCAAGATTGCTCAGTGATTGCAAGAGTGTAGGTTTCTGTAGCTGTTCTTATATTGAAGTAATATATTGAATGCCAGTAGTCTGTACTGTACTGTACTGTACTGTATCCTAATTAAACAGTTGTTAACATCCACTCACTGAAATTTGAAGATAAAATTTCCAAAATTTGCAGATTGTATTTTATGATTCTGGAATCCCACATTTTCAGGCTGGTGCTGGGATCACCACTCTGGCCCTGGGGGGTTACTAAACATGAGTACCTGTATAGTCTACAATCCATACCATACCCATGGGAGTCCTTCCTTGTCTGGCTGCAAGCCAGGAACCCACTTTGACTCATAAGCTGCCATTCCTTCCAGGTTAATTTTTGCTCTTTGTAGAATGCAGACTGCGGGGGTAGGGGGAGGGGTGGTGTCAGAATTCTTCCCCTTAACTTGGAGTCTTCATTTCCTGTCTTGGGATCTATCTTTATATAAATTGATTAAGAGTGAGAATGTTTGTCTTCGTAGGAGTTTCCTTTCTGTTCTGCAGGAATATAGCCTGTCCCTCTGCCTCCAAGAGAACACTTTCATCAGGTCATAGTGGGTAAACATCTATTTTCACCCACTTCAAAAAATACTCATGTATTTTCTGAAGTGTGGATTGTTCACAATTAAGACCATATGTAGGGCATTCTTAGTACACAGTCAGAGTTGAATCTTGCCAGTACATTTTTCTTTGTCTAGCTCCAGTTCCTCTAGGAAGTGATGAAAAAACAAGTCTGAATCTCCTTTATGTGGTCTTCAGGGTCACTTTCTGAAACTGCAAGCCACAGCTTAAACAAGAACATATATATTCCCACAAAAGATATTATCTACATACATATAGAAATAAGGAATATTTCTATATATTCCCAGTCTTCTGCAATAATTTGCAACAGCATAGCATGTCTTCACCAAAAACAGTAATTTGTATATCCAAGTAATATATCCATCTCATTTTAAAATATCTACATTCAGAAAAAAAAAAACCTTTATCATTTTTCACAAGATGAGTAAGTGGGTGTTACTTCACATTTGTGTTCTTAAGATGCCCTACTAGGCAGGCATCCTAACATGAGAGAAACAGTGTTAAGGCATATTCAGATCTTCCATTTCTGTAGATACAATAGCTGTTTATCAACTAAATCCAGGTTTAAAAAAAATTAGTATTTCTTTAGTAATGTAAATAAGTACTTGCTTGGAGGTGGTATAAAGGAAAAGCTTTCACTAAGCATGGTTTGCACTAGACTAAGATATTAAAGTGGTTTACAAAGTTTATACCACTATAAACAGTAAATGAAAATGCCTATATTGACCGCTTCTGTAATGCTGTAATAACGACATCAAAATCTCAGTGACTTAAATAATCAAGGTTGGGCCTCCCTGGTGGCTCAGGGGGTTAAGACACAACCTATGAAACTGTCCACAGCCACTGCATCACGAGTTCGATCCCCGACCAGGGAGACACCCACGTGGCACAGCAAACCTCTCCTGGCTCACCCGCTGCTCCCCTCAGCAGTGTATTTCAGTCAATCCACCTGTTCTGTAGCCCACTCTGTCTCTGGTGAATCTTCTCACCCCCCCCCATGCTTCTGGCCTGTACCCCAGTTCTTGTATGCATAAATAAATAAATCTTTAAAAAATAAATAAATAAAATAACCAAGGTTTCCTTATTTATGTTACATACTGGCAGCCATAGGTTAGCAGAGGTACTACTTACATATATATCATTTTGGGATCAGGAAATCTGGTGCATTGGAAAGATGGGCTTTGAACAGATGGGTTTTGGTTTAAATTCCCTATATCATGTATGAGCTAAGGCTCATGTCTTCTGTAAAAGGAACATTACGATAGTACTCCTAAGGTTGTGAAAATTAAAAACGTGAAACTCAACTAGTAGAGTGCCCTGCACCCAGAGGTTGTCAATAATTAACAGTAGTTCTTATCAGGCTCTGAACACCTCTACCCTTGGGTTTTCTACATTTGTCGTACAGGTGCTGGTCCACTTTCCTATT